GCGGGGTCAGGGGTGGGATGGGCAAAGCCAGGGGCAGAGCCAGGAAACAGGATGGACGAGGCCAGGGGTGGAGCCAGGGAGCAGGATGGGCAGAGACGGGGGCTGGAGCCAGGGGAACAGGATGTAGGGAGCCAGGGGATGCAGTAGGCAGAGGTTAATGAGTGCAAAATCATGAATGCAAAGGAACTGTGAGCTATAACAGGTGCTATATCTGACCCACATAACAATACAGAAACCCTCCTTTGAGCCTACCTGTTTTGCTCCCACAACCAGGCGCAGTACTAATTCCAAGATAATAACTGCAAACCAAATGGAAGCATAGTAATATCAAAGGAGATTGAGAAACACATTAGAAAAGAATTGGAAAAACTACTTGCAAAATTCATTGCGAACGCTGCTGGGTGGCCATTCACTCGTGGGCCTGTCAAAATCTACTCACGGGTGGTGGTCTGCCTTGGTGGCGCTTTGCCAGGTGAACCTTTCTAAGACCTCTCCCACGGGTGAAAAAGCCAGGAACTTCTGAACTTGTTCTGAAAGTGGGAAGAATCATTGCCAATGGGGCAGGGGGAGTGATATCTTATAAGTAGTATTAATATGATGTAATGAATTAAACTTGAATGCCCAGAGTCATCTCTCAACGGCTCTGGGCAGCTCACAGCCATCAAACAAAGACATGACAATCGAATCAATCAAAGATAAAAGTTAAAGATCAAAAAGATGGCAAGTGTGAGGCAGCCAGGGGTCTCAGTCTCCCTCACCAAAGGCCTGGGTGAAGAACATTTGAACATCCTGCTTGTTTATTTCCTTTTTAATAAATTCTTTTGCCTCCTGGAGCCACTAATACAGTAATGTTGTGTTTTGGAGTTCATGGCACTTTTTGTACTCTGTATATTTCACAGTCTCTTGGACGCAAAAATCCACCCACACATTCAATTAGGAGGTGATTCTTGGGTACTCTGGATCACATTCTCAACTCTGCTTTTTTTTTACTCTAAACCTGAATTGTACTTTTCCATCCATCAGCCTGCCAAGAACAGTGTCCAGAAATTGCAGTTCAATCATTTTCTATTTTTTTTTTCTTTTAACAATAGCTGCCTTGTGTATGACATGCAGTCTGCTTAGGCAAACAGGAGGGTAGCAAACTTTGGTTTGTGGAAGTTGTGAAACCCAATTACGTAAACATAATATATACATATGCAGGCAAATATATATTTACACACATACCTAATACATTGCTTTGATTACCAGAATAAAGACACACTGCAGTACGGGTAGTCCCCAGGTTAAGAACTCCCAGGTTACAGATGACCCATAGTTAAGAACAGAGCCCATTGTAGCAAAATTTGAGTTAAATACACAATGATTCAAGTCAAATGCACAATGGTTCGAGTTAATTACACAATACTACTTATACAGCATTATACATTAATACTGTTCCAGTTTTTTTACAATTTTGACTTAAGGACAGACCTTGGGAATGGAACCCGTTCTTAAATTGGGGACTACCTGTATTGGTCTAAGGGAAATTGAATATCATTTTGATTTTGTGTTTTTATTGCAGTAGTTTAGCAAATTCAGATTCCACATATCCATGAAAGCTAATGCAGAATATGGCTTTTGCAATTTGGACTTTTTTTAAAAAAAGAAAGCTTTTAATCATTATTTGGATGCAGGGCTCCTAAGGGAAGTTGCTAACCACAGAAGAAGCACTGCATTATTTAAATGTAATGTATTTTCTTAGTAAATGTTGACTCTCGGTGCTTGTATCATTGTTTGGGGAATAGTTATGGAGCCCTCATTCCATCACTGGGTGTGTGATTCAAATGTGATTTGAATCATGTGTGAAACATGATTTGCCACCCAGGGTCCCTTGTTGAGATGGGCGGCTATAGATATCAATTAAATAAATAAATGTGGGATCAATTCTGTTTTTACTACGATTCTGCAACCAAAGGTCAGTGGAAACACACACCCTGACACATATCTGTGTGGGTATACATATGCAAGCCCGTTTGCTCCAGAACTTAATAGAACTCTGTCTTTTCATAAAAAGATCATTGTTTCTCCTTAACCTAAGCTGTTCTCATTGAAACACTATAATTTGGGCAGGGATGTCCAAAGAGTGTGGTCAGAAATCAAGATGGTGGCCATGACAGTGTAATCCTAGCTCTGTCTGTTTTTTTATGGACTTCAGAAGCCCTGCAAAGCCTCTGCTCATCTAATTTGCTTCATTTTTCAGCCCCCACAAGGAGGGGGGGAAAAATCACTATGCCATATTTTGCTATCAAATGTTAGCAACACAGTTTGGCAGGCTGCTGACAGGCAGTTAAAAGCACCAGCCCCCAACTCTACTTGGATGGCTTTTCTTATTTGAGGGTATATCTATTTATCTGCTTCCTACAATTGACAAATCCATTCTGTGCAGGAAAATCTTTTCAAAACTTTCCCGTCAGGCCAAATTAATTTTTCCGTTGACCCCCGTGATGCCTTCCCCAGTAATTCTTTTTGGGCCATGCAGCTCCATTGAGAATCTAAGATCACCAAGAACAAAAGTGAAGAGAGTTTGGAAAAAGGAACCCTCTAAAGTGAATTTGCAGGATGAAAGGCATAAAACCTTGCAGCTGCTGGGCATTGCTTAAGCCAGTGTTTCTCAATCTTGGCAACTTTAAGATGTGTGGACTTCAACTCCCAGAATTCCCTAGCCAGCACGGCCGGCTCGGGGATTTTTGGGGGTTTAATCCACACATCTTTAAATTTCCAAGATTTAGGAACAAATGCTTAAACAAATCCCAGCAGCCGCAAGGGTGTAT